TGGGACAGAGAGTTCAAAAAGAATCCAGTTGTATATCATCAATTTGAATTTATTTTCGGAAAAGAATTATTTTCTGAAAAGTTTTAAAAAGAATTTTTTTTGCATCTGACAATGAACTCAAATATTAGGTAGTAAATGTAGTAAAAAGAAATCCATTATTTTTCCATTTAAAATTTTCATGCAAAAATACACCTAATATGATAACACATTTATGACTGAATTCTTTTTAAACTATTTATGCTATTTGAATTATTTCTATTGTCCTTATTTTCAGTGCCTGAAATTACACGTCCAGGACGAGCTATTATCGGCATCTAACTTCAAATCAGAATTCCATTTAATTTTTGTATTTATATTGTAATGAAATAAAATATTTTACGTATTACATTAAAGTGATGTATCTCACGAGCATATTATTTTAATTATCTTTTTATAAAACCTTTTCTTAATTTCCTGCAAGATGCGCAATATGATGTACAATATATACCTGCAGATGCAACATATGTTACTCGTAGAGAGATAACATGATGAGATGGAAGACTTCGACCAAATTCCGATTAAATTACTGATTCGAATAGAACCATATAAAGCGAAATTTCTAATTATATATAATTGCTTTTTCTATTTAATTTTCTTAATTTTCTTAATTTTTCATTTGTTAACAAAAAAATTAATAATTCTGCGTTAATAAAAAATAGTGTGTGTGTGTGTGTGTGTGTGTGTGTGTGTGTATGTGTGTATATATATATATATATACACCTAACAATTAAGTTAATCACTGATTAAGTTAACTGCATGAAGTTTAGTTGAGTTATTTATAATTATTTATTGTTGAAAACAATAAAATAGAACGTAAAATTCATTTCTATATGATTCTATGCCACGTCGTTTTATCTGCACAAAGTAGAAATGGGTTACATTGGTTGCAGCATTGAAATAAATATATAAATATATGTAGTGAAAGATATAATTTTTTTTTTAATTTTTTAAATTTAATTTTTTTTTTTTGCAGAAAGAATTTTTCAAAATTGTTATTTTTATGTTAATCGCTATAAAATTATGAAGTAAACAAATTGATTGAAAGGATTGTCAATCCTCAACTAAATTCAATTTAATATAGAAAGAAATTAATTACTGAACTTTGAATATCAAAAGCACTGAACAACTCTACGTGTGTATATTTTTGTGTTCAAAATATATAATCAATCCACTGTCTCTTCCATATTAAATTTCTTAAAAAAAAGATTTTTAAAAATTAAGACAATTAATATTCATTGCAAGAAAATTTCTCTCTTTGCTTTTTCCATAAATTCTACGAGTCTCGACAGACTAATTTGCCTTTTCTATAACTTCAATTTAAAATTTTTGTTTAATCTATGCTAATCTACGTTAATATTGTGATATTAAAAATTACTTTTTTTTGTCTTCAGATAGAATTTGTAACTAGGACAAAAATAATGATGATAAGTCTCGACAGGATAATTTGGTACAGCATAAAATTGCGTACGCGAAGATGAAGATTGAGGAACAGAGAGGGACACAGGAATCGTATTCGTGTCGACGTCGCATAGGATATTAAGTAGGGTCGGATCGTAAACTGGTAACATCCGCCAATCAAATCCGTCTATGTGTGTGACCTGGCCTAGAATCGAAAGCTCTTCTATACCGAGGAGACGGTAATTTATCTTTGCATGATGAAAAGAGCGCACTATATCGCGTCAGTATGACGTGGGACGTTTTGATCGCATTGTCGATTGAGTGCATCAATAAAAAGATAGAACTTCAATCGAAAAAAATCGCTAATAGTAGCACATGTGTTCTTAAGTGCAGCATGGACACAATTAGAGAGAGCCTTCACAAGGTTGGGATGCACAGCTGAAAATTAGGCAAAAAATCAAGGATTAGATATTTATAATTTCCCTTTTTAAATATTCTTCAGAAATTCCTAAAAATTTTTTTAAAAAGAGAAACTACAAGTTTGTTAAAAAATTTGTTGCTATAATTAAAATACTTCTTGTAATTGTAAAAAATTTAATTTAATGTAAAATAAAAAAAGTACAATTAACGAAACGTCGAAAGGATTAAATATTCGGAAATATCGATCCGTCAGATTAAATTGACATTATTTTAATCCCGATTAAAAAATAAATAAAAAATATTCACTTTTTTTATTTATTTCAAAAAATATTTACTATTTTTTATTTTTATTCCTTCTCATACTCGAAATGTTGGAATTCATATTAAATATAATAATATTACGTAAGATTAATTCTATATTACTCGATGTGGTTTTCGTTAACGTAATTATTCGCATGAAGTGTTTGTGACAACATTATATCTCAGTTTTTATTGTTCTTTTGAATAATTTACAAATAAAAACTGATAATATATTCTCTATACATCCTTTAGATAAAAATATATTTAAAAAACTATTTTTAATTTGTACTAAGTATAATAATATGTATATAAACAGCTTTAGCAAATTTTCTTATAGAAATTTAATATTAAAAGTAATTACTTTCTGATCCTTTTAGAGTAAATCACATTCTGAAGAATGAAATCTCACTTCTAACTCACTTTTAAAAATATTCTCTTTTTCAAAACTAGATCAATTTTCATTCTTTAATTAAAGTGATATTTTACTCCAAAAAATTTAGAGAATAACTCATTTTGAGTATTAAAAGTACTATTGTTCAGCTTTGCTTTTAATACTTAAAATAAATAATTAATCACTATCTTTCAGTATTAAATTAGTCAGTATTGGATTTTTGTAAGGACTTATAAGTATCTTATTAGATGCTTCAGGTGATGAAGGATCAATAAACAATCGAATCAGAAAAATACTGACAGGAGCGTCTATCGAACACGTTTCACGTGAAAACAGCGCAAGGGCGGCGCGCGAAAACGAGAGAATAAGAAAACAAGAGAGAGAAGGATAATAGCTTGCGACCTGCTCTCGAATCAGCTTCCAGGACGCGCGGCAGGGCTTGCAGCTTCCATCTCTATCACTCTCTCGCTTCTGGATCCCGTGCCTCATCTCTCATCCCGACCCCCATTCGACTACCCGTGTCACCACTCAGCCTCTTGACTCTGACGTTCAGTCGCACCCTCGCCTCGCGGACGGCGCGCACTCCGTAACGTCTTCACACATCGACACGCGCCGAAAACGAGATTGCCGCGGGCAAAGATACGCTCGCACCACCAACGGCAATTAGCGAGGAGGAAGGTTCTGTAAAAGTGATAAGGAATACATTTGAGAGATACCAAAGATGAGGCTTCTCGCGGTCGCCCTGGGTTTCCTTCTTCAGGCATGGATCGTGTCCTGCGGGGTACGTGGCAAAACGATGCATAGGTGAATCTGGGGAGCTTGAAGGAAAATTATATCCCTTCGAGAATAAAATTAAAAATATATCAGAAAGTTCAATAGAATTTTATTTTATTTTTTTGTAAATAAATTTTTATCTAAAATCACAAAGAGTTCTGTTTATATGTTTCGGAACTTCAACGAAACTCAGTAAAACTCGGTAAAAAATTGGATAGAAACTTGGCAATCGGGGGTGATTTTTTTCGATCGCTGTCAATTTTGGCGCTCAAAAATAATTATGTGTTCAATAACTTGTGTTCAATAACTTTCTTTTGAGCTCGATATTTTAATTCTATTTGCATGATTTTTTTTTTATTTAGTGTCAAAATAGCAGAGAAAATTTTCTATGTAAGGAAATGTTTTAAATCAAAATAGAATATCTTTTCTTTTTTTGTTTTTTTTTATTATAGTACAGCGTTATGATGTTTAATGAAAAATTGATATTAAAATAATCCGAAATAATAGAGTAATCCAATATTAGAAAAATAATAACGAAGAAGAACATATAATTATACACAGACAATTCTCTTCGCTAATGTTAATTTTTAGCATCGTAGATTAACTTTAATTTCGATTTGACTTATTATTTATTTTTTATGGAAACGAAAAATTAATATTGATATAATTACAAAAATAATAATAAAGATATTGGAAAATAATAATGAAAGAAAATAATTATAAATAGATAATATTTCTCCGTTAATTCCTGTTTCTATCAATGTAGATTAACTTCAATCTCGGTTAATGAGGCTTAACTTATTGTTTTTTTCTAGTTTCTCTAGTTTTTCTAGTAATTTATTTTTCTAGTTCTAAATAAAAATTAGAAGAAGATAAAGTAAATTAAACCGAGATGAAAATTAATCTACGTGGATAGAACTATAATAGTTGCTGTGTAAAAGTATATTATAGTCCACTAACACAGCTGTCGCAAGAGCGTTCGTCTTTCATTACTATTTCTCAACCCTATCTCTCAACTACTATCTATTAGTCTCAATGACACCGATCTATTTTGCAGACAAGACCCAGCTTCGTTTCCGATCAGATGATCGCGACCGCAGCCAGTGTCGTGAACGCCTGCCAAACACAAACGGGAGTTGCCACAGGTATATTATTCAACGAGAGAGTTCATTCACCCCAACGTGAATGAAATTATCGATCACACTTTTAATTATCGCGACGGCGCATAAAGTTATACAACTGATACTCGCAAATGACTGACTATCTTGTTTCGAATTAAATCGAAAACTAAAACTTTCACGGAGATTCGAAGGTTCAAGACTGGTTTTTTTTTCAATACTATCGATTTCGAGCGATCGGAATTGCGTAAGCATGTTTTTCTTTCGACTCGATATTTTAAATTTGTTTGATTTTTTTATCTAGTGTTAAAAATAGAGAAAAAAATTAAATTAAAATATTTTTTAATGCCTCACATGTTAAAAGAATGATGGTGAATCTATTTTGCACTCTATTAATTAATGCGTTCAAAGTATATTTATTTCGCGTTTCAAGAAAGTAATTGCAATATGAAAATTATTTTTGTAAAATATATATTAATAAATATATTGAATATACATTAATATA